ATAACTAACATAATGTTAATTATTAATTAATAAAATAATAATAATATAATATTTTAGACGGAATTTTTAATAAAAAAAAGTATTATAAATTATAAATTGTAAATTATTCATTTTTCCAATTGTATTTTTTCTGGCTCTTCACGGCATTCAAAAAAGCTGTATCATCTTTCACCAAGTTCACGAAATCAGTACAGGAACTATTTGTGGAAGGCAATATATTTAGTGTTATCATTAATTCATTTTTTATTAAGTCCACTGAACAACGATTTCTAACATCTGTCCATTTTAGTTTCATCATCGAAAAAACCCTCTCTACATGAGAATTAGATGGTGGAATACTTAGAATAAATTCTAATAATATTCCAAAATTTTTTAATTTCTGAATTGATAAATGTTCTAACCATTTTTCATAAACAGTTAAATTATTTTTTAAGCTAACAGTTGGTATAGCAGGCTTGATAATTGTAAATTCTTCAAATATTTCATCTAAAGAAATTACATCAACTAGTCCAAATACTTCAATTATTTTTGCAATATCTTGATAAAGTAACAAATTTGATTTTAAGCAAAGTGGTTCTAAAAATTTTAGTGGCGAATATTCATAATCAAAATGATTAGACAATTAAGTTAATGCAGTGTTGTAGAACATATCAAAGTCTTTTTTTATAGTATTTATATTAGATACTGATAATTTATTCTTACATGTGATGAAATTTGAGCCATAGAACTGTTCATTTATACGAGTTGAAATATTAGTTTTTAACTCATTCATAATATAAAATATCTCGGGGGAACTCGTCTCAGACTTTTGAAGTAATTTACTTGCTTTTTCAAACATAATATTAACATTGGCACAAAAATTTAAGTAAATACTTGGTTTTTTAAATAAATGTTCAATTTCTGACTCGTCTTCTTCAAAAAATAAAAGTTTTGTTAATTGATTTGGACAGTCTTCGCCAAGAGATATAAAATAAGATATCAAGGCAGGATAAAACTTGAGAATTTTTTGGACTGCTGGGCCAATTGACAACCACCTAGTAGGACAATGTTTAACTAATTCTTGCCATTCTAACTCAGCATACAAAACAAATTCTTTTAAATCTTCGCGTCTGGATGCTGATACAGAAAAATGTGTATATATTTTCAGCACCAAAGTTTCTACATCAAAATCGAGACCATCTAAAGCTTTTCGAAAAGTATTGTGCACTACGTGTGTTAAGCAACCCGACTTAAAAATATTCTTATTATGTTATTGTAAAAGTGTAAATGCTGATCTACGACACCCGAAATTAGAATTTGTGTTATCGGCACTAAATGCTGATACTTTTGACTTATTAATATTATATTTTTCCAAAGTTGATAGAACTGAATTACTTATACCATCAGCAGTTTCGCAGGCTTGTTCAAAAAAATCTAATAATTTTATTTGACATCCAGTTTGCAGACAAAAATATTGAACTACAATTGGATACATTTTTCTATTTCCTTTATTAGATGTATCGGTAGCAACTGAAAAGTAAGAAATATTCTGTAAGGCATTAACTATAATTTCTTCTGCTTTTGGGCCAAGTAAATTTTGTACTATAGCTTCAGCTTTAGTACGACCACAAGATATTTTACTGGCTATATTTGAATCGGAAAATATTTTAGGAAACAACTTAAAATCACAATCAAGAGAATTATAAGATAAGTTATGTTTTATATTATGAAAAATTTTAGAAACTTCCGCCAAATTAACTTTTTGACTTTCCGAAGTATTTTTGGTAACAAAAAATGAATTTATTGTACATAATTGTTTACTAGAATTTTCTTTTTGTCTATGGAAAACGCTATTTGCATGGTGTTGCACATCAGATTTACCGCCATGAGTAATTAAAAAGTCTTTCTTACATAGCTTACAATTACCATACAAATTGTTATTTTCTGATTTTCTAATCCAAGTATATGAACTTAACCATACATCACGAAAAGTACAAAGACGTTTTACCTTTTTTGGTGGAGTATGAGTAATATTTTGTTCTTCAGAGTCACTCATTATTATATTTCATATGCACACACAGTAACAGTACACCAATAAAAAGTACTTAAATCGAAAAATGCACGGACGAATATAAATAAGCTAAATACAATATTAATCGAACGAATTATTATACAATATACTTAGCACAAATTATACTGTCATCACATCACCGTAAGCACCGCGTAACTGAAGATGGCAATACAGCGTATTATACCATTATAATTAAACGCTATATTACTGATTACTATACAGATAAAATAAACATATCTACAATTTACGTATATCTTGGTAATTTGTTAGATATTACAGTTATAAACAACTATAATGTTCAAATTCCATAGTATCTAAATATACTAATAGATTATTGCTATTTACTCGATAACGAATGAAGCATTTTATCGTTGATTATAAATTGTTAAAGTTTTAACATTTACACAATTTATTGAAGAAAGAGATAAATTGGTAATTTCCTTATGTCCCGGGAAAAATATGTCCCGCATAAATTTTGATCGGGACACGGGAAAAAAATCTAAAAATCGTGAATGTCCCGCAAAAATCGGGACGGTTGGCAACCCTGGTATATACCGAGGTAAAAAGTATTCTTACAATACACAAATTACTATACTATTCTTTTTTTTTAAATTTACAGTGAGTACCTATTCTTAAGCAAGATAAAAAATATGATAATTATGATACAATTTTGAGTATTTATTTTTAAAAGTACCTATACCTATTTAAAATAAATAATAATGTTAATTATCTACCTAAATATTTTACAAGATTGAGTACCTATTATACTATACATATAATATAATTAAAACAATTTCATTATGTCATATATTTTATTATTTGATAAATAAAATGTCAGTTAAAATAGGTACAAAAATAATACAAATAAGTTTGAAAGTATGCAGTTATAGTATATAGGAAGGTAGGTAGTATGTACATTGTAGGTATCTGTGTACTACTATAAAATACCTAGTATCATACAAAAAATGACCATCCGAAATCGTAACAGTCATTCAAAAGCTTCGGCCTAACAAAGCTCCTGGCCATGATCAAATCACAAATAAAATAGCAAAGAATTTATCTAAAAAGTCAATTATGTTCCTTGCCCATATATATAATTCTATGCTACGCTTGTCGTACTTTCCCTCAACCTGGAAGCATTCAGTTATTATCATGATCTCAAAACCAAACAAGCCTAAACATCTCACAAGTTCTTATCGCCCAATCAGCTTACTACCTACATTTGCAAAACATACAATTTTATAACAAGTGGCTTAAACTACAAACTTAATAAAAAAAACTGAATTTTTTGACATTGAAAAAACTATAGGGGTAAAAATATGTGCTATAACAGGTAATACATTTAAGTTATAATTTTATTATAATTACATTTACAGCAATAGTCAACAAGAAATATATAATAAATTTATAAAATTTTTTAGGCTGCAATAATAGGAATTCAAATAAAAATATTTCCTTTCATAATTTTCCTTTAGACCCTATACTTAAGGCAAAATGGATAAAAGCCACCAGAGTCGAAAAAGGTAAATTAATATATTTAGTATTAGAAACATTTTATGTAACATAATAAAAACATTTAATTTATACATGTTCAGAACACTTCGAAAAAGAAATGTATTTGTAATCTGAAGTTGAACGAGAAAGATGTTGAAGAAATGTGCAGTTCCTACAGTTTTCATCAATAAAAATATAATACAATTTAAATCACATTTTTGTAACTGAAAAGTATTTAAGTATTACCTTTTAATTTAGACATCTGGATGATATCGAAACACTGTATACAGTTGACCAAACAGAAAATATATCCATACGCAATGGTGTTAGTTCTCCGCATTTAGTAGCTATGGCAAAGTAAACTAATAACATAATATAAATTAAAATAAACGTTTATACATTTACTAAATTTTAACAATTTTAGGAGTTTAAAAACAAGAAATAATAGAACTTCAATTAATAATACATCAGGTTCAGAATTATGTACAGCTAAAAAGTCACTATTTTCATTTATACTCTATTCGCCGTAAGTTGACCCACTTGCGCGCATGCATACTGAGCCGCCGGAACGTTCAGACCCCCCACGTTGTAGAACGGTGGTCTATGATTGGTCAGTTGGGTTCGGCAACCGACGGTGCTCGTCGTAGTAGGCAGCTGCCGCCGTGCATACAGAATGTTTTACAAAATAATTGTTACTAATTAATCTATTGCGCTCGTTCGCGGAGATAGTGTCGATAGTCGATACGTCGTTAAGATAATCAAATCACTACGTATACGCCAGGTGCGGTGACGATGACCAACACTAGCGCTCCGAAGACGCGGTGGCCTGCGCAGCCACGACCGGTTTTCGTCCAGCGAGTGGGTCAACTTACGGCGAATAGAGTATAGTATTATGAATAATGATTTTCCCGAGCCTTATAATATTGATGAAATACAGTTAACTCCACGAACTAAACGTCTAAGAAAAAATTTATGTAGATTACCCAAAAAAGGAAGACCAAAAAAGTATGTTAATTAAATTAGTTATATTTATAATTCATAAGTAAATAGTAGCTTATTAATTGTGTTGAAGTATACAAACAATTTAATTAACATTTGCTATACATAAATTTTTACAGCAATACTCCAGAAACACAAATAAAAGAACTTAAGACGAAATTAAAGAAAATAGAATGTATGAATAAACAATTAAGAAATTACTATGAAAAGGCACAAGAAGAGAATAAGCAACTGGAAAATGAATTGCTCGAAGTACAACATAAATCTGATTCAAGAGCTAAGTCCATAGCTTCTGTTTTATCAATTTTTTTTTCACATGGTCAGGTGATGGCAATTCATATGGGTCCAGATTGGAAAAAAAAAATTCGGTGGTCTTCTAAGGATATTTCTAGTGAAATCAGCCTTCAAAGTGTAAGTCCAAAGGCGTACAGATATCTCTCCAAAAAATTTAATTTTCCATTGCCATCAATACCAACCCTCTGTCGAAGAACACAAGTAATGACTTTGCGTCCTGGTTTTATTGATGATGTTTTTTCTGTTATGAAAGGAAAATCTGAAAATATGACAGACCTTGAGACCTTTTTTCATTTAAAATTTAGATTCTAAGCGGAGATATTTACATAATTTATAATAATAGATTGGTTTTACAACGATGCATTTTTTTATTTGTTTTTTTTTTTTTATCGAATTACTTCGATCTTCAACTATGAGAAGGTTTCTAAAAGATCACTTGATTCAGTTGGTATTTTGGTCAGAGGGAGTCAAAAATTAAAAAAAAGTCCATATCATTTTTAAAATAATTAGGAAAAACAATCATTTTTACTCGAAACAGTTATCTTAAAATCGATTTAAGTTTAAGGGACTAAAGTTTAAAATTTAAAATTTAACACACCTATTAAAGTAGATAATAGATACGTTAAATTTGTTGGATAAGAACTTAATGACAAGAACCGTATATGAGGATAAATCGTTCTTATACGAATGAATAATCGATGTCATCAACCGATAATTTAAACCTTTGTCTCTTAAATCAAAATTTTTTTTTTTAGATAACTGTTTCGCTTAAAAATGATTGTCTTTTCAAATTATTTTTAAAAGTAAATGGGATTTTTTATTTTTGACTCTCCTCTCGCCAAAATACCAACTGGATCAAATTATCTTCCTGAAACCCACTCATAGTTGAAGATTGAAGTGCTTTGAAACCGAAAAAAAATGTATCGATGTAAAATCTATGTAGGTATTATGAACTACTGTGTAAGCCGCTTAGAATCTAAATTTCAAAAGAAAGAAAAAAATTGGTTTAAATATTCTGTTTAAAGAGTGAGATCTTCAAATTTTTAAATATTTCAAAACAACTATTATACTTTCGGGTATTTAAGACATGTTAACAAAATAATATTAAATTACCTGTATTAAAATTAAAACATGTTATAAGGTTGTGATAAGGTATACCTCATTTGGTTTATATGGCCAGGTATCAGGATTTCTTCCAATCATATATAAATATAATGAGCCATCGGGCCAAGTCCTTTGGCCCTCGGAGACATATGGAAGTTCTTTTTCTCCCAAAAGATTTGCAAGTCCTTCACATTGACTTACATCCAGTTTTTCTTCTCTTTCTTTGGAAATTGCAATGCGTATTATCCTTGTTCTGTCTTGCTTGTTGTCCTGCACATCGTACATCTGTGCGCAGAAAGAAAAACACAGATATAGAGAAAGAAAATTAATCAACCGTATCTTATAAT